CCATATTTTTATTTGGCGGGAAATGCAAATTCGTTTTCGTCCACTAGTTTTTAGATCAGGATTATCTTCATCCAATTATGTTTTTATCCTCTTATCATATTAAGTTTATTTTAATCATGTAGATTTAAAAAAAACTAACCATCTCTCCTCCCTCCAAAGCTTTTATTGGTGAACCTCTAAGATGGTCGCATTGAAATACATGTACACAACACATGAGTATACAACTCAAATTTCTGGTCTCGCGCTATAATCATACATACACCAAGTATTTTATTCTCGTTGGCCTCAGATTTGTGGGACTAACGTACATGGTGTGTCGGCTAGTTGGCTAACATATGGCCAACCAGTTTCGATAACGGTTAATTAAGCGTGGCTTTTGTTTTTATTGCTATTGAACTTTTGTACGTATTCGGCTCGTTTGTGCTGTTTATCACATCTGTAGGGCAAAATGGCGTTTTGAAAAGATAGTATAACTCCAGTTTATCTCATTTAATGAAGAATCATATCTGTTTTGAACTTCATCGCCGGTATAAAGATTATATACAATGTGAGGCAGCGTGGGAAAAGGGCGACCTTGGCCCTGACTTCCCGGTAGCACTGTTTTTCAGTATGACCTTTGTATTCTGCGTCCTACTTTTATTGTTTGTTTGTACGGAGACATTGAGCTGCACTTTCAGACTCATGCATATTCGAATTGTAATGTGTTGCCATGGTGCGCATGATCAAACTTTCGTACCGCAAGCTGGGCTTTTTCCCTGATTTACGTGCATAATTCTGACAATATTTTGTTTGTTCGTTTCCGGTGGGGGTAGGGGTGGGGATGTTACTAAAATAGTTGAAGTAGACGGGTAATCGCCGCTGTTTCGATCCTCCGCGGTCGAGCCGATCTTTTTAATCCCTATTTTTAAGATTTGGGTAATTTTTTGACGAAAATGCAAATTATTGGGCTACAAAGCGCTCTCAATGTCTTTGGGGACAGTCATCAACTAGTCAGCTGCAGAGCACCCCGCAAAGAATCTACACAAATACCTGGGGTTCGTTGCTTCTAAGCCCATGCCATGCACAAATTTCACTTTTTTTTCTCAGGTGAACGAAGTAGCTCAAAAAATTATGCTAATTACTATTCATGAATATGCATAATACCAATATGCCCGAAGACGTGTATCTAGTACTCCCAGATGTAGAGCACCTTCTCCGTAGTTTGATACAGTAAACATATAAACATATGTTAAAAATAAGAATTGTCGCGATAATCAGTTTGCCCCAATCCGCGATTAGCTGTGGTATGTTGCATTTTGTGTTTCTAGCGTGGATCTAACAAAGGCGAGACTGAAAGATTCCTGGCCCCAGGATGGCGGACAATTGGTTTGAAACTAGCAATAATATTGCCAATACTGTTACTTTGTAACGGTATTGTTGATACAAATGTGTTAAAATTAGCACTGGCATCTCATATCGCTTACAATTCCATACTACCGCGGTCACGTGACCTATTCATCTTAATATACTATACAGTACACTGGACGTACACATTAATTTGAATTCATTGTAGTATATTTATAGTATATTATTTAAATATCAACAATGTTGACATTATTCGCGTTCGAGAATAAGATGTCAAATGTTGACATCATATTAGGAGAGAAATCTACTCACAATGTTTGATTGCGTTATAATAAATCGCATAACAATGTTCATTGATTTATTATGTACAATCAGGGAGTTGCATGGTAACATGAAACATAATTTGTGTTGTGTGTTAGAGTAACTTATTTTGAGAAAATCTATATTGTAGAACAGTTCTATAGAACACAATGTTAAAACAATACTTTGTTGTCACCTTAAGTTTCAATCTGATTAAAATCTGATGTAGTGTACGGGCTTTAATTATTTTGGCTATAAACTTATTTTAATTTTATTTTTTATTACTTTTGTTATTAATGCCCTTTTATTTTATTTTATTTTATTTTATTATTTTACTTTGATTTTGATTTTGTGAGTTTTTTAATTCCGCCCTACCTACATCTGAGCCGATGCCTATGTAACGAGATTTCAACGAGACCCACTATCGACGATTTTAGTCAACGAATCACAGACCTCCTTCTATAGCTCACATG